TGTGGAACAATTTCAATACTGACACTACGCATCTGTTATTTATTAATTAATATTATTTAACACTTATTATTCATTATAAGGTGTCAGAAATAAAAATGGCGGTTATGTTGTAATTAAACTAAATATAAATTACCCAAAATGTTGCAATTACAAATATCTGAATAATTAATATTAAATTATAAATTATTATTAATATAAAAAAATACTTGGATAAGTTTAATTAGAAGAAAATGATGTATGATTATTTTTAGTGTTAGGGCGTAGCTCTAGCAGTTTGCACCAACAGATACAACATTGTTATATTTAGTACATCAGATGACATGAATTGTTAAACAAAACTAAACAAAGTAACATAACTAAAAACTAAAGATCACATAAATTTCGTTATTGACAACAGAAATGGAAATAAAATAAACAATTATACCTAATTAATAACAATGATTTCGGAATGTCACGTGTCTGTTGTATGACGCATAATAACATTAATTAATACTCTCATTTAAATGTATTATTAATTACATAATAGTTATTATAAGATAGACTCTCTCAAACACTCATCCATATATGAGCAGCACTAAAGAACAGAAGATACACACTAATTACATTAAAAAAACACTTTTACTAACATGAAATAAAAATTGTAAATCAATATACATATATAAATTGTATACATACATCAATATATATATAATTTGAAACAAGTAACACTTTATTTAGTATATATATGTATTATAATATAGCATGTTCAATTATGAACTTTCAATTTTAGTAATTCAGCACTGTTTTAATTTACCGTAGCAGAGCTTAATTTTTTACCGAAGAGACTGTAGACTGTTGTAAGTCGTAATGATGAAGTACAATAATACTCCATGGTATATTAAAAAAGTGCAGACGAAATTAAATATATTAGATTAAATAATAAAAACCGAGCATTACTAATTATGTTAGGAAATAAACTGCTACTAGATGGTAATTTTTCAATGTTTTTCATAATTCATCATGAACATCATTTAGCCTGATATAGTCATTATTAAAAATGTCATAAAATTTATATACCAATTTTCAAAACAACTGTTTCATATACAATTTAATAGGTAATGCAGGTGATAAATCACGGACGTATGGTTTCGACTTTTCCAAACCAACAACCGGATTTAACAAAAATTTTGCTACATCTTAAAATTTATATAAATATTATAACTGATAGATCCATATATATCATTTCATAAACATCGCGGTATGTTTTAGCGCAATAAAATTTATAAATGAGCAACAGAATATTTTTCTACAATTATATTGCATTTAAATCATGATCTAGTTAAATATTTTTCTAATAATATGGCAACATCATTAACTTTTAACGAAATATAACAGGTCCTATAGACAAGTAGTAAACAAAATCAAATTTACGCTTATAGTATTTAAATCTTTGCGTATTGTTGCCCTTTACAGCCTTTTACTCCATATTGTTACTGTACTAATTACATAGTAATAAAATAGTTTTCAAACGTGAAAATATGTTGCATTAAAAACAACTACAATTAATTAAATAAAACGCCATTGAAAGTGTTCTGACGTGTACCATTCCATACCATAACGATTGTCATGGGTCATATAACATTTTAGGTATTTGGAAGAATGCAGCGAATAAATATTATACAATAGGCTCATTTACTACATGTCTATAGAAGCTGACAGTGCTACTCCAATCTTGCACATCACAATTACATAACTATCATTAAATTCAATATCGTTTACATTAATTTAACTACATTCATTACTATCATTCGTTTATATACCACATTCTCAATTGGAGCACAGTCTAGTTATGAAATTGTATTTTGAGCAATTTCAAATCATGTTTACGTATCTGCTCTATTCATAAGTGCATAGCCAAAACCATGTCTATTTGTTAACTATAACAGCATGGAGATTTACAAAGCCGTATAGCGGATTTGGCCCCAAGTTATTTGACACTATCCAATGCTCCGATTGAGAATATAAGAAAAATCTAAAAATCTATGCTCTCCGGATTGTAGCATGGCACCGGTGACAATTATGTTTTTTTTTGCATTTGTTATTGTAAATTGAGCGCAATTACTAAAGTAACATATAGTTTGTCAATAGCAACCTGCCATGGTATACACACTACAACGCAGAGAAAATAACATTTAGTTCCAACTGAACAAAATAAATTGACTATAAACAGAAACAAGTATACATATATCTTTTAATATAAGTTGAACATTTATTATAGCTAATAGTAATATAATGATTTTATGGAATATTCTTGTATTTGTAATATCAATGAATTAAATAATCATTTGTTCTATCTAATTATAATGTATACATTGACACATAAATAAAAACGTAACCTATTAAAAGTTAAAAACAAAAACGAACGGCACTCACAAAAATAATGCACATCATGACAAACATTCAATGTTCCAATTTCCTAACAATGATACGGAACCTCAAAATTACTTACAACAATTTCTACTTAGCCTAAGTATTAATTAAAAGTAAAAATAGTGAAACAGTGAGTAGTTATATAGTAAAACATCACTACTTTATATTATAATATTGTATATTATATACAGGAATGTAGACGTGCAGGCGTGAATAAATAATAAAAATGATTACTTGAAAAAGGCGTTCATTTCTAACAATTATTCATTAGTTGCGAACCGTTTGCAACATACCGTATCCACTATAATTTGCAATACGAGTAATAATTAAAATATTTAGGGATACATTCGAGAATACAGCATATTTCGAAAAGATCCATTTTTAAAAATAATCTAAAATTTACATATGACTTCTAGGTTAGAGTTCATAAGTACATGATTGTCTATTTATGTAATATTTTAGATTCCTGTTGATATATTCTGATTTATCTTTTGAAAATCGAACACAGATTCGTTAATATTAAAATTTAAATATGGCAACATTAACATGTAAAATGTTTGCCAAGTGACATGTGAATATATCTTTAGAATTATTCTAGATTTTTATTGATAAATTATTATTGATATTCTGACAATGGAACACTGTATCCGTTAATATTAATATAAATTTTAATATAATACGCCTTAATTAAGTAATCGTAGTAGAAAAAAATACTAGTGTATAGAGAAAATTCTAGAAGATGCCATGAAAGTATACAGTATAAAAACAGTTCAATACTTAAGCCCGTAGTATTGTACTATTTTTAAGTTTCACAAAATTGGATAATCCATTCCCAATTTGCTTACTTTTCATTCCTGTCTATCCCTGGTTAGACTACAAGAAATATTGAAAGTACTTTTTAATGTTAAGTTTTTAAACTTATACACTAAAGGGATAACCGCCAAATACCATACGAAGGATATCCAACCTAATTGCATCGTGTCAGAACTGTAAGTATGATCTATTGAACATTACTAGAGTTCATCTGAAAACGGTGTGGTGTGAATGAATTATTGTATAAATCCACGGCATCTTTCTAATACTTAAGTGTAGGTATTTAGTACTTAAAAATAGATAAGTACAGTAGTGAAACATACATAAATCATATTTATGACTATACTGATTCTTGCAACCCTGTGAATTCTAATCCTGTAATATAGTTAATAAGACCGTTTTCCAACTATCAAATATGGTACATTAGTCTGAAGTTGTATAATTTGTTTATAGCTTTATATAGCTCTGTGTTACATATAAAAAAGTGTAACATCCAATAAACCTATCTTAATTATCTATTAATAAGTCTCTCACTATCTTTCAAATTGGAATTGAGCTTGAAAGAAGGAGACAACTAACTTGAAGCTAAATTAGACTAAGAATAGGTTTATTACACGTTTGACATTTTTATTACATATATTTATAACAAAATTAATATATACTTTTTTTTCTAGTTTTAATAATACATTGTAATTCATTAACTTGTTATTACGTAATACGCTGTGCAATTTTAACAGTCCAATACATTATTTTTGAACTCAAATTGAAATAGGTAATTGTAGGTACACTAATGTAGACTTAGTTCATTGTTATTAAAAATATGGTTGTCAGCAATCTGAATAAAAGTTATAATAAAAAAATAACAAACAGAAGACGGCTCTCCTTCAACGCATTCGGTAAACTTGTTTAGTAGTTGGAAAACGGTAAGATTCAATTACAATACACTAATAGAGACCTTAAATTCAAATCCCGAAGTAAATTTTGAGCTACGTGTACATTTCTAATGAGTTATTTATTATCGTAAATTACTATAATATATAATTATGTACATTGTTCCAAAAATCATGTGAACATGTGCAAGTGATGCCTAAAATCGTATCGAATTTAGTTTTAGTCAAAAATTTGGTAGTCGTACTTTTGGCACGTAAGATATTGAGCGATAATGCACGAAACAATACAATACGCAACCTACAAAAAACTCTATACTCTTAGAAATAAAGTAACAATTGTTTTACAATCGAAAATAAAACAACAAAAACATATTATCACAATTATAAAGAAATATAATACCCATTATTAAGAAACTTAATAAGTGTCTTTTATATAAATTATAACCTATAAATCCATAGACAAAACAACTAAATCACCAGCCTTTGTATACGACCATGTTATAACGTAGTCAAATTGTCTATGGCTAAAGGAATCGTGCACTTTAAAAGTGAATTTAGTGGTAATTCGTCAATTTTTTTGTTGTTTTGCAATTTTTTTCCTATACTTATAACAGCCAGCCAGTAAGATCTTAATCAGTACCTAGTGAAGTGTCCATATAGAAGATTTTATTATAATTAACTATCCTTGAGGATAAGGTAAGATCGGAATAATTGTACAATCTGAATAATATAGGATTTCAAATATTTCTGAATCTTAAAAAATAGATAGATATCAATTAGTACAGAATATGAAATATAAGAATAACGCAAGTTTCTATTTGATTAGGTATTTTGCGTTTACAGATATTCATATATGTAATATTATACAATTACAGTTAAAGTGTACTATATTAAGATTAGAAATATTCAAAATGGTATATATACCTTAGGATAATCCTTTTAAGAAACAAACGTCGACGGTTAGCACCAGCTGAGAGAATGTCTAATAAGATTTGTTCATAACTTCACAGCAAGTGTCTAAAACAATTTTATACCATAAAATGTAGTGTTGTGTCCAATTTAAAGTAGTACGTGAAATGTACAAGTTTCATGTTTAATACAGTGTTATTAACCCCATTGTGCTTTCAATTTAAATATCTATGATTTGATCTCTATTGAACTTTAATCTATAGATTTTATAATATCACTATAGGTAACTTTGTTTAACATACAAGAGAATATCGTTAGTTTAAATATAATCAAAATTCAATAAAGATCATATCAACACAGCAACAATTGTATAATAATAAACTGCACAGATTAACAAAATTCAGAACTAGTATTCAATCATGAAAATTAAGATATTGGTGTCAAAATAGAATGTCATTCTGTAAAAGTATTTTCAACTCTAAAATTATCCACGTTTCAATGATCAATAAAACAACTTGTTATTGAGACGAGTTCACACAGATATTATATAGACATATGGCGTTAGACTAAGATATAATTATATGTAAAAAGTGTGATCAATGTTTGTTGTTAAGTGTTTTAGGAATAACTTTAGAGTATGACACTCCGAGTACCTACGATAGGAACAATTGCGAAATATCATTCTATAACCATGATTACAATTTGACAAATAAAAATTAACATAATGACATCACAGTAGGTTTCATTTTTGATCATCAACAAAACCAAATAGATATAATAAAAAATGGACATCATTAACAAAATTATGTCGTTAGTAAAACGGTGTAAATAATTTCAGACCTACGTTTAGAGAATGACATTTCGAAAATTGCCCGTCGTTATAAAATTCATAATCACATGTAAAAAAAAATACTTTAAGTTTTAGATGTGAACATAATTGAATATTTGGAAATAAATATTTTACAGTGCAATTCAAAGAATGTTTTAGAATTGGAGGTACATTATTAAACATTAGATTTCTAAATAGTCGAAAAATGTAATACATTTTAACACTTCCCATTTCCGGTGTTTGTTTTTGTAGTTATTTTTCAGATATTATTCAGATATATTAGTATTTTTATAGGTAAAAGTCAGATTGTCAGTAGACCCAAGAAACTGGCACCCACTGCGGGGTGGAGCGGAGTCTAGCGAGAGCTGCTTCCAGTTGCGCTAACGTGTCATCTATGTCATTGTTGACGATCGTCAGGTCGAAATAGTGGCCGTATGTCCGTCGAAGATGCTCTGACTCACGAACTAGTACTTCCAGGGATCCATCATACTGAAAAAATACGTAAATCATGGTTAGAATGTATTTAAGATATTTTCAATTTTAGCTCTTATATTTTAGACTAACTGAGCTCACGATCGTCTAATTATATTTATTTTAAGTGATGCTTACCCAACACATTTGTAAAAACTGCATCTAATTAAGCTTTATGAAATTTTAGCGTACAAATGCACATAAATAGACAACAATACTAACAGTTATTTTAGGTTTTAGTACGTTTATAAAATCCACCAATAATAGTTTTTCATGTTTCATGTACAGAGGGGGACCAGATTTTTTTTATAATGTATATCTACCCAAATAACTCAAAAAGTAAACAATAACCTAGAGAAATCATTAGCACCACGGATATTAGGCATGCTGTACGACGCTCTGTGCTATCTCGGTTCACTGTAATATCTCGTCTTTTATATCGGAAAATAACTTGCAAGGCATGTTGCCTAGCGGTAGAATTAATATGATACCCACTCAGCGTATTGTTCTACAGGTTCACATTGAAAAAAAAAATTACCCATACAACGACTATGTATGTACAAAAGTTTTCCTTAGACGAACTATATTGTTGAACATGTTTTTAAGCTAAAAAATAAGTCCACGGTAAGCAGCTTGTGATATCGGTACTAGACAACTAATGTAAATACTTTTTGTAAATATATAATATATATAGAAAAAACATAATATATATAGAAAACACCCAGATAGATACAAACAATCATACTCATAAATACAAATGTTTGCACCGTGCGAGGAATCAAAACCCGCGACCATTCAAAGTAAAGCGGTGGAAATACATACAATTAGGAATATATAAAATTCGATCTCTAAAATTTATTTAGATGCCTAAATACTTACATCAGCGACATTGTTTAGTGGTGGTGCAGCTATGAACACGACGTACGGTGCGAATTCAGATGTCCTAAGTATCTTTAGAGCTTGTGGTTCAACGTCCAGGATGGCAATGCGTCGCTCCGAATATATACGCCTGATTGTTTCCAGTTTGGTGCCGTACATTGCGTCCTCGTGAGTTCCTGTTAAGTAAAATGAGTTGATTGTGATAAAGTATATAATTGCACAGTACCATATAGTATCGATTATTAATTTCTCAGTTTGCATTATGGTTGACTAGTAGAAAACGCCCTTAGGTGTTAAGTTCGCCATATGTACATTTATATATTGTATTTGTGCATTAAAGTTTAAATAAATATAGTTCAGCCTCGTAACGAAGGAGACAATACTACGACGTAGTCTGGTCGCCGAACAGTCAACACTTATGAACTATATCCAAACTCTATTCATTGCCTGATGATGCCTTGCACAGATGCGTCACTAGTGAGAAAGGTCGTAACGCTTCTGTTAACGGTGGTCTGGTTTCCACACTGAATGTTTGTAGCCTCACACTTGCTAATAGTAGCGGAAGTAGACAAAATAAGACAAATCCTAATAACTATTTTTTTAGCTCATCGGGGCTAATGATGAATTATGAGCTCCTGTAACACCACAGGTACAGCAGGTGAGATGTCAACCTTTTAAGGAGGAAGAAAGTTTCAATGTTTTCTCGGTTCGTAAATACTATTACTGGGAGATGATTCTACAATGTGGTTGTGATGACGCCTATATGAAATAAAATAATACATTTTTGTAATATATATATGATATAAACTCTATTTAAGTCTAAACAAGTATTTCAACATTGTTTTCATTCCTTTCCATGACATATCTTAATAGAAAACAATATTAAATTCTAAACAACTCCTTAAAAATTTATGTGTACGTACCATATTCTAAATATTCATTGGCTGAAATATCCGCCATCATTTCTTCATGCGTGACAAAGTAGTAGTGTCGACCGTTCTCTTCGTCCGTCCTTGGAGGCCGCGTAGTGTCTGAAAGAAACAATAGTTCCTTTTAAAGATTATTTATTGCGATTTTAACATTAATTGCTAGTTTGTTGGAATACAGGTTATTGGCCCCACGGCTAGCAATGTATGGTACGTAATTTAGTTGCACTTGGACACTGCCGCATCTAACTGTATTGACTCTTATGTACAACTTAATTATGTAACATAATCTATAACTGCAATAAATATTATTATTATATATTATTAATTCCTTACGAATCGGCCACGATGTACCAATAACCTCCTTTCAGGGGGTAGGGGGTTATTCACTAACAATCCCCTTCTCATTGCTAGTAATGGGTTCATTTGTCCACATAGTAATGTACAATATACAATGTCAGGTTAACCTTCACATTTCTGGACACCATCTTGATAAATTCCTAGTGAATTTGTCACGCTGGGCTAACTGACATGACCTCATGCTCATCTTATCATCCTTCACTGGCGTTCCGCCAGTGTAAACCGTAAGCGCAGGTATTTTTTTTTAATTGGTATTAATGGTGTACATTAATAATAATGCACACCCATTTAATTATTACTAATTTAAAAAAAACTAACTTTCTTGCTCATCCTATCATCCTTCACCGGTGTGCCGTCAGCATACATCAACCAACCACACAATAAAAAAATCAATACATAATCAATCAAATATAACCAAATGGGCTACTCACGTGGTATCGGGTAAGCGTACTGGTCAGGATGCCGAGCTATGAGCGTGTTCTTGATGTGACGACGACCCACGCCGTGAGCGCCCAATAGCACTATCGTTTTCCTTTGGAACGCTGTAATGGAGGAAATAATAACATCCCTGGACAATCAAATAGCGCCATCTAGTTCGTGTTAACAGAGCTTGTGTTATAGGTACTAGACAACTGATAGAAATACTTAAGTATTTTTTTTTAATACATACATAATATACTTAGTAAATACCGACAGTAATAAAACAGTCACACTCATGAATAGTGTTTGCATTGTGTGAAGAATCGAACCCGGGATAATCAGAAATATGGCGGTGTGCTAAACCACTAAGCAATAATTAATAAAATTGGAAGACAAATGACTCTATTTTTCAATTCTGTTTCTACTTTCATACTTCCTCTGATGTATGAAAACTTATCTTGTCCATTCTTGTCGCAAATTTAATCTATATAATAGTACAAAATACTAACATGGCAACTTAACGACTTCCTCATAAGTCACGACATCTAGTTGGTCGAAGACTGCATTGTGTTTAGCAAGATATTTGTCTTTCGACTGTTTTTTCTTGCGTCCAAATATAGAACAGTTGACTGAAACAAACAATTAGTCACATGAAAATCACAAATACATAAGTACAAATCAGAGCAACACTCTTATATGTAATTTTTAATATGATATTAAAACTTCTTTATTTATTGTCATGCTTACATAAACTTAAATTTTCTAATTAATATTTATTTAATCACAAATATATATTATAAATACCACCAAATACCGGTACATCCATGCAAATACATTTAGCTCCATTGATCATAAATCTCCTACAAAGACATTGCAACTATTATGGTATTAGTTACGTTCTTTTAAATGAAGTAAATAAATTGAACTTTATTTAAATGAAATTTGGAACCATATTACTATTTCTTACTTAGCTATAAACAGTAAACATTTCATAATTAAGAATGAAAGTTTATTTAAAAAAAACTATAATCATACTATGTCACTGTATTTTAGACTTTATATTCTTAATATTAAGGTCTGCCATCAAATGACACAATACACACTAATGTTACCTGTATTCTCACATCCCTCGGTATGTGACACGCATCCTTCAGCTCCTAGCGGCACAACATTACAACACGGTTCATGCAAACGCAATGGAATGGTATGGTATAGTAATTACTTGTAACATCAGGGGGGAGGGGCACGCTACTTTTGTGAAATGTTCTATTTAACCATTATAACTGTACTCTTATTATTCACGAATATAAAAAAAATGAAAAGTTGATTTATATTTACAAAGCGAATACTTAACAATAAACCATCATCGAATCGAATGAAAAATTTATAACAATTATGGAGGTTTTATTATTAATTTATAGTGTCATAATACTCACTGTTAATGTATAATAGAAGAGGACAAAAATAAAGAAAAAATCAATATATGTATTACTTCAATGTATGAATTAGTCAACACAGCACATTTAATTTTCAAATATAAGTACAAACTTCTATTTGAAATGTCCTGTTTTAATATAATAACTCATCATTCCTTTCTTTACTTAATTTTATAGACGTTTGTCTCATTAAAATGACCAAAGTTCTACAAGCAGAGACATTTCGCAAAAGCAGCGTTTTAACAATGATTGGGGTTACACAAACTCCCTTTGGTCTTATTGAGTATTACAACTAAATAACCTGTTAGTTCACTACCAAGATTTATATACTGACTATAAATATGTATACGAACATACAAAGGGGCATCAAATACACAGGAACTTATTAATAATATAGACGTTTCTTAAGAACGTGGTATGGACACCATGCAATCAAGTGGAATCCAAATATTAGGTTACGTATAGAATATAGATAGTATTAAATATAGGGAGCTTGTATTACTCATTGAACACATAAAAAAGCAGTTTTACATACCGACTGTAGGTTCATCCATTGATGTTTACGTTTGAAAGCAAAATACTTTATGTTAATGTTATGATAATGTATACAAATGTTGCAAATTAGCAGACAAATCAGAAATTAATATAAATTTAACTATGGATAAAAATACTGTTAGAGCAAACTATGAGGTTACTGGAAATTTCATAAACATTCAAGAAATTAAACAAATAGGAGAACAAAATAAATTGTATGGATAACAACGACAAATGTTTAGAATGTAACATCTGTCACAATTATATTTAGTAAACGCATTCCATAAACAAACTCATTAACAAAACAATATAGCCAAAGACAAAATCATTCCAGTAACCATTAATAACAATAACATGGAATCTAACATCGATCTAATAGTACTTATACCAAGAAGACAAAATGTTTGCAACTTTTCGTTTAACGTACACATGTTACCTAAATTTATAAGTAAAAATAAAAACAATGATGGATCCATTAAACAATAGCCTAAAGCTAACTTCCATGAGAGAAAACTCCTAATACAACATCAAAATGAACGCTACTTGAAGCAAATCAAGTAACAGTAGCAATGGAAACATTTTAACAAATGAGAAGAAAATCAGGCAAATGTTATGCAACAAACTATCGTATAAACAATTTCCATTATTAACCTACTATCAAAATTTGCTCGATAAACAGATTTACAACAGTTGCATTATTATACTTTTCGGGAATTTTATTTCCTCTGACCTTGGTCGGTGTTCGAGCGTTCCGCAGCTGCACAGGCGGCCCTCCACTCCTGGAGTTCAGGGCTGGGTATAAGACCAGCAGAACCACCTGAAGCATCCTTGCGTGCTTGCCACCAATGCGAATCATCTTTGCTTATTATCTGGAAGGAATGTATGTTGATTGAAGTAGAGTTGATGTCAATTTTACATTTATCTTGGATCCTCTCATTTTTGGATTCTGTGGTAATGTTGGGAAATAATATTATAGTGAAGCATAGATGAAGAAATAATTTAAAAAGAACCCATATCCATTATACTAGAATATAATATAAATTCTTCTGCGTCAGTACATCAATCTCATCTATTTCAGCCACCAAGGAGCTTTCTTTGTAAGCTCTGTTTCCGGTGTAGGGTACAGACGTGAAATTATTGAATAAGATTTAATACATCGTAGTTCTCAATGGAAAGGCATGAGTGTATCGCATGATAACGTGATGACCACACTGCTGTTCATGTAAATGGGCGATGGTTATCGCTTAGAATCAGGTGGACCGCCAGCTTGTTTGTCGGAATCGCATAATTACACAACAAAAACTAGTTCTATTTCTACGATTACAACTCTTGTAATATACAGTTGTATCAAATTATCTAGTTTAGTCAAGATTTCTCAATACTATTAAACGATTAATACCAATATTTCGTTAAATGTAAAATTATCATACTTTTTTTGCTTACCTGTAGAATATCTCCGATGTTAAACGCAATGCCAGCTTGGGCACACGGTATCAGTTCATCTTCTAAAGGATCATAATCAAATTGTGCCCTGACGAATATCTGAAAGAGAACATAATATTAAAAGCTGAACATTATGAGATGATACACGAACAAATACACGATAGACTTTTTTACGGTATGACAGGACACTACATGAATAAGAATGACGTTAAGAATGTGTAGTGAGTGATTTTGATAGATGATGGGAAATATGAATGAATGTACTGAATGAAATGTAGGTATATGAAATGTAAGATAGTGAGATGAATTGTGAAGCGTGGCAAAGAACAACAAGCGCACAGAATCGTGGGAGAACGCGGGGACGCGCAGCCATGCCCGGGTGAAGAACACAACAAAACCATAAACTGAAAACATAGGACAACATACAGTAGCAACGGGTCTTGGTCTCGCTACTTACTAGCACGGGCGAAGGCTTTATCCGGAAAAGCTAGTCAGAACAAAAATACAGGGTTTAATTTTTGGATTTATCTGCACCAATCATTTATGCTTAAGACAAGCATACAGTCAAAGATTTGTGTGCGCTTGTCGACTCTTCTTTATTTATCTGTTGTTACAGTGTATTACAGTTTAATAAAAAAAAGCAAGCGTTTTGCATCATTCTCGTCTAAATTAATATTAGTAAGTATTACACACAATCACATACCCATATTAGCCTTTCACAAATGATTTTCTAATCTAACTTTTATTAATGAATTCAGAGACTAATTACTACAAACTTTCAAATAACAAACTACACAAGTATCAATCATTTAAGAAGAAAATTTCCTACAAATTGATATAATAAAAATCGATAGGTTAGATTTCGAGATTAGATACAGAGAAGTCATTACCTCGCATGGTGGCGGTGCAGAACGGTAGGATGGCACAATTTTGAAGGTCACCGATCCACGAGCCTCGCGCTATAAAATAAATCGAAAACATGTAAATTCTACACGAAAATAAAACATAACCAATGACCCAATCAGATACATAAAACAATCTTTAAACATAATTCAAAATAACACCATTGACGACCGTAGTTCAAAGGTCGTAACTCTTTTAAACGGGACAGGATCCCGAGGGACTCCATGTAGCATTTAATAGTTGTCACATTTGTTACTTGGTACAGCATTAATTTAATGAGATTAAAACAACAAACAAACATGCATAAACAGATGTTGAGAGTCCGAGTTTTATGTTTGTTGTTTCTGCGTAATTCAAAGTGCATGACACAATGGATGTACTCGCAACCAACATTTTATATATTAGACATAAATTACTAATAAAATTTTGTTCTTATGTTGTAATTGAAAACATACATGGTGCAATATTTTTTTATATAATACCATAATGGTGGCAATCATTTATACAGTCCATCTGATGGTAAACGGAATTCAGCTACCTTAACTTTCTTCATGAAAACTGCAGTTTTAAGGAATTTATTTGTGGAATTCATTGCAGTACTAGTAACACTTATTTCAATAATTTTATTTCCTTTCTTCCACTTCTTACAGATTACCTACTCGTGCCTACATGTAAAGGAATATGTAGATATTGGATGTAACATTTTGGAAATTCAAACTAAACAATTACTTATTATCTGTTTTGTCAAATATACTGAAAGTTAAAATTATATACAATTAAATGATTTGATTCATATTAACACAACGTGCTAAAGGTAGTATGATTATTAACCTAGATATAGTAAAATACTATAACTTTAAACATTTGTCATACATATTGAGGTAAACGTCGCAACGGAATTAAATTAATTCTGGTATAGGTTACATTTAGTATAATCATATGGATAATTTACATAGAGCTAGTAAATAAAAATACCATACCAGCATCCTTTGCAACTGCGCGACTGACTGGTTAGCGACAGGCGTGCCATTAATTTCTCTGATTTCATCTCCGACGTGCAATGTAGCTTGGCGATGTATCATTCCACCGTGCATTATACGGGCCACGATGCACCGGCCGTCGTCAGCCAGTTTCAGAGTTATGCCCTGAAATTTTTTAACATATACTTAACGAAAGAAGTGTTTTTAAAGAAGCTTACTTACAGAAACGAAATTAAATGATAGTAGGGAAAATCTGTTAACAGGAACCGTTGGAAATATATGGTGAAATAAATTTCTAGAAATTAGAATCAATCAGGTCTTAAGAATATAATTATAATTTATCTGCACCGCCAACAAGTTATCTCTGCACTGGCTTAAGTCCGCCATATGTACTTTTTATTTCTGTATAAAGTGCCTGAAAGTTATTTAAATTAAAATATATAAATAATTACTGCAATAGTAACTAACAAAATATTAATATTCACCCGCGTTAGACTTTACATGGGTACCTCTGTCTCAGTCTATACAGGCAGCCTCGAAGTAGATTTTTTGTAAGCTGTGTTTCGGTGAGATATAGCAGATAAATTACAGGCATTGAAGCATAATATGTTTGTCCTCAGGAAGGGCCACGCAGGATCATAGGCTATATATATAATATTTATCAGTTCTAAGGTACCAGTCATTCGATTTTCTTTTCATATTTGTGTAATTATATAATGATTAAGAGAGTATTATTAAAACCTTATATAAAAAGTATTACATTAAGTTGTTTGCTTTTACTGTTTTTCTGTGTCTGTCGCTGGCAACGTAATAAATTTGCTGCACTAAGATAATGGAAATAACAATTTAATTCTCCAATGTCAGTTAAATGCTTCTCTACAAGGACGCTTCAAGCGGTGATGCAACCCCGCTAGCTATTTATTCTCCAGAAATAAGATTCTATAGTAAAAATAATAGAATATTTTATAAATTGATTACTCATAACTAATACAACCAACTTAATAAAATTTCTCCTCCCTAATGAAGTCTCCTTTTATTTTTTGTTCTTGTATAAGTACATATATAACTGATCTAGTGAACACATTATCCTATAACATTTTCTAGGTTTACTGGAACAAATCTCTTTTTACAGATAAGCTCGTCCTTGTATATTACATTTACCTTACTACTGTTTCCTATGTACGTGTATGTGTGTACAATAAAGAATAATTTTAGTTACCCGCACTGATTAAAGACTTCCGAGACCTCTTACAGTAGAAGTTTAGTAGTACTCTTTAAAAGAATTGTATTGCTTTTCAATTTGCGGTAAACTAGACTAGGACTGGATGGTCCACCTTCAGGGTAATGCCTACCGTCGCTCGGAGACACTTATTACACACGTATGGTGTAGATAATTAAAAAAAATTACTAAAGTTATATTATCAGGACTTTGTTGACATAATATGAGCTTCGTACTAGAACGAATAAATTATAGTTCTTATACCTACTTAAGTGTAATAAATAATAATACCTAGTTTTGAATTAAGACCAGTACACGTCGTACGAAAACTAAATAATAAAAAAAAGTCTGAAGTATGACTATGATATGCTTAGCACTACACTTACCATGGGTTCGTCAGTATTCTTTTGGAACTGCACGAGGCGCACTCTAGTCACGTTCTCGAACTCCGGTTCGGTGTCCTCTTCATCTTCAGGCGGTGGTGCAGTGGTGCGGCCGTTGACAGGGGGCGGCGAGGCTCGTAGCGACTCCTCGCCGTAGACCTCGCGGGCGACCACATCGTGTGCCTGTAGTAGGGCCTGCAACAAGAGATACCCTTATTAGCAATCTCTATATTATATTTCTGAGCTATCAAAGTTTTTATATTCACAATAGCCATGTAAATACATTTACTGAAAAGTAAATAATTTTAAACATAAATTATACGCCTATTAGTTTGTAATCTGGAAAACTCTTTCATATAATTTTTATTTCTTATTTTATTTTGTATATTAACGCTATTACATAATTCGTCTATTTGCATAAAAGTTTTTTATTATTCTCTCTCTTAGTATCAACATGCCAAACGAACTACATACTCATATATAGTATAGAATAGATCACCACATTACAATACAATGTTTGCTTTGTTATCCGTAACTGGTTCGATTACTAGAATTTATATTGTTTTCTAACGAAAATAAAATAAGTGCCCGTTTGAATTGGCCTGGATTTTTTCTATTATTTCTATTATATATTACATAACGTAACGAAATTCCGAAACAGATATACAGGAAATTCTGTAGTTTTTCTATCTTTGAAAATGAAAACTATCTGACGTTTATAACTAATTTGTATTGCAGATTGTATAGACAACCGCTATAATAAAATGCTATAACAAAATTTTCATACAATAATATTTTACTTTTTATCTATCTATATTAATAAAAATAATACGTTCTAAAGCGAAAATACCTGTAGGTAAATAACAAGCAGCAATTTTGTGGCATCTGTGTATATATTTAAGATTTATACAAAATCTTTTTGCTTAGACCTTTTGAGAACCCAATCAATCGCCCACACAGACTAGATAGCGGTCACTTAGAAATATTTTGCTCCACCAATTTCCTGTGATCCCCTTTCATTTTTCGCCCGAGCGCTTTTGGCATACAGCCGTGAAAAGGGGGATATCAACCAGCCGCTGCCAATATTGCGCCTATACTATAAATCCGTGGAACGTAGACTAGTCACCGCAATGAATTTGCGTCGACTTTTCAATTGGAGATTTAAAAAACTATCCGCTCTCACTCAGTAAAATGAAAGCTTTAGTTTACAAAATACTGACTTTCCTGGGTTATACTGCTAGTGTGTCTAAATTTAATAATAATAATAATAATAAAACTCTTTATTGTGCATAAAAGAAACAAATAATTACAAAAAGGAAATAAAAAAAAGAAGGATATGCAAACAAAAGGCGGCCTTATCGCTTAAAGCAATCTCTTACAGACAACCACAACAATTTATAGTTGTATATAAAAATATTCAATCAATGTCAATATACATATTAAAGACATAAATGTACACATATGTAATCATAAACTGAAACCTTATTCAAAGTGATTTTAACTAATAATATTAATAATCCAGTACAATTCACACAATTCTATCTAGCCCCAAGCTACGCAGAGATTGTGTTATGGGGACTAGACAACTTATTCAAATATTAATTTCTGTTAATAATCCATAACATTACTTCGACATGTATAATACTCACTAATAGAAACAATCATACTCATGAATATACATGTTTGCATCGTGTGTGAAATCTAACCTGCGGCCAATTCGTCAAACTAGGTATTATTGTGTATAGATAATCCTTTAAGTTTTGCCCGATATTAAAACCGTTATTGACTGCACTACAACTTAAATTTTATTGTTTCATGATGAATTAGTATTTAGAAAGTAAAAGTATTTTAATATTTTACTTCAGCATACTCTGAAATGAGTGTACATTTTTACTGAGAAGAAAGGTTAAAGTTTTTCAATTGTAGAATTACGCGAACAACCTTCGTGTTTTATGCTTAAAAATGTATAGTACAGATACTACAGACCCACTTTCAAAATAATATATATATATATATCCAGAATTAAGTGAAACCCTTAATTCTGGAATAAAATTTAAATTCGTATCTTGACACTTATACAGGTGCGCGTTATTACTGTACTAGAATTGAATAAAACATTTTGTATGTGAAGATAAATCCAACCAGATAAAAGCAGTCTCAAAGGTAAAATTGGAATTAGCGGATAAAATTTAGTTTGGTTACACACGAAATCCGAAATCCTTAAAGTTTTATTACTGTACATGTATTGGATGTGGAAGTTCTTATTATAACATTAAGGGATTACACTTGAAGCCTGTTTGCAGCGCAGCCATTCGGAAAGTGTGGTTATAGGAGCGATGGAGCATGCTATAATGGTCCTTTGGGGATAGATTTAACATATATTGTAGTCCACCAATCCACAATATAACAATTGCTAAAGGAAAGTATAAAATAGATCAGACATGAGACGAATGTTGCATTAAAACCAACGGTATTATTAAAAGCAGTAAAATCATAATGATGTTTAATTTGTATCTGCATGAAATATTCTTGTTTCGTCTGTATTTACGTCAAGTGCCTTACGTTAAAATTTAATATATTTTCTCTCTTGCTCATCTTCTTAAACGTGTATGCAGCGAAATATTGAGTAATATAAATATCAACCTTTTGGTATAACGAAGAAAGAATAATTCTTGTATGAAATAGTTTCTGTTGTAATAAAAATAATTTATCTATCTCCACTTGCGACGTTTGCAAGATGAACAAAATTCCCAGGCTGCTGGGAATTGTACAATAATTGATATTATATTCATCAGGAGATACCCTTCGCTTTACCATTGTACAATTAGTGTTATTACAAAAGCACAAATTCAATAATAACCGCAAACAAAAACGTGCCAATGAAGTAAGAAGACCATTCGTGGTGATTTTAGGGTAAACACAATAAGATTACCTTTACAAATGTTAAATAAATTTATTCCATGTCAGAAAGAACAATACTCTGATAAAAATACCTGTTAACAAAGGTACATAGTACCTTAGTAGAAAAGATCTTTGATATTTGATTCGCATGAATATAATTGTTTCTCAGAATTCGAACTTCGAGCATAGGAAATTCGAAATTGTACACTAACATAGAATGATCCCTGATGTTAGAAATAGATATATTAGAAGTAGCATATATGTTAGAATCTCAAACAAATACACAAGATATTTCTTTAACGTTAGGTAGGTAAAGTAGGCCAGAACTTAGTTACAATTGATTTTTGATGTCTTTGTACAAATAAATCTATATATCTTACATAGTATAAAACAAAGTCATAGCAGTTGTCTGTTCGCTTGTATTTTTCAAAATACGCAACGGATTTTATCGCAGTTTTTAGCGGTAGATAAGAGTGATTCAAGAGAAAGGTTTGTATATGCAATACGTGCGTGTTATAGTATAGAACAAGTCGAGAAATTCAAAGATTTGTAATGCAATGCGAAGCCGTGACGGATCCCTAGTATTATGTTAAAAAGCAAATATTATCGTTACAACACACATATGGTATATCATGGTTAAACACATATATACTCGTATAGCAAATTCTGTAAGAAGATTACAAAACTCAACCATCTCCATATCGTTATTATCATCACCTGTAGCTCAAAAACTGAGGTTAAGTACCGAAAATTTTCAAACAATTGCATGAAATGGACACTGTAAGCGACGCGTTCTGTGCCTTAAAAAACAAAATAATTAAAATGATGTTTGTCTATGTTATTGTCTCTGCGTGCGGTGTCGTAGTCGTGTTCAAAAAAACTTATAACCGGCGCAACAGACGCCACGCAGTCTGCACCTAGATGCGATCGACACCGCACGTCATATCTCTAATTAACATTATAAAATTTATGTGTCGAAAATAAATCCAATTGTCTTAAAAGTCTTCGTTTGCCATCACCGTGACCTACCATATTTTATACCATACATTTGGTCATTCGGCCGGATTTATGTACCGCACACCACCAGCGCACAAAATGGTAGGCACCCGAAGTACTGCACGCAATAAGGACTGCATGCAGACGGAGCAGCATCCTGGTTCTGAACAGTATCAAGATACGCCACGGCCGAGTAATATGAAGCCTACAGAAGAGAAGACGGTGACCGTTATGAGCACAAATTCAAAAGCGGGTACTTGTAAAGAAGAATGCCAACCGTCGACGCCCGTTACAACGAAGCGTGCAAAGTCCACGAAGTCTTCGTATTCATCTGTACTGGCACGTAAAAAGCAGTTAGAACTCGATGCTGCACAGAAGAAAGCTAAAATTCAAATGGAATTAATTGACAAACAATTGGAAGCAGACCTAGCTGATTTAGAAGCAGAATACAGTCCAGACCTAGAGGATAATCGCACCAACATTAATAGTAATGTGGAGAGGTGGGTCGAACACAGCCAGCAAGAATTGGAAAACACACAGTTTGCCCACGATCATGGTTTTCAACAGGGTGACACGTGTCCGCCAGCAATAGATTCTGGCACTAATGGTACTACAGTTCAGATGCTAGCAAGCGCTCTAAAGAACATGGCCGCCGCCTCTGCGAATAGCAACTCGAATGCTAAATTATTGTCTCGATTGAGCACGCCGAAGGATTTGCCATACTACTCAGGGGACCCCATGGAATGGCTGCAATTTAAACAGGCCTATGAAGAATCGACTGAAGTCTGCAACTTCAATCCGAAGGAAAATTTATGGCGTTTACGGAAATGTCTACGTGGAGCCGCAAAGGAAGCGGTATCAGCTTTACTCATCAGCGCCGTAACTCCTGATAAATTAATGGCGACACTGGAACTAAGGTTCGGTAATCCAGATATAATCATATCACGCTTGATACAAGAATTAAAAAAGTTACATCCAGTGTCACAAGAATATCAAAAGGACATAGTGTACTTTGCTGTGAAAGTGCAGAATTTCGTGGAAGCAACACGAGCCGTCGGCCGCCAGGAATATTTACAAGGTATAGATGCATTTACATTATTATTATCTAAGATGCCAACTGTTCTTGTATCTAAGTGGTCAGATTATAGTTACACACTGTTACTAGAAAGAAAGAAATCTAGATTAGAATTATTATCCGAATTTCTAACTCAAGAAGCAGTAAAGATTTCCACAACATCTAACTTATGCTTAATAAATGCACGCAGCGATAAATATAAAAATTATGATAATAATATAAG